TGGCTCGTGTTCAGGCGGCTGTCAACCAACACCCCCAGGTCCTTTTCCGCCAGACAGCTCTCCAGCCACTCCTCCCCCAGCCTGTAGCGTTGCATGGGGTTGTTGTGACCGAAGTGCAGGACCCGGCACTTAGCCTTGTTGAATCTCAGGCAGTTGGCCCCGGCCCATCGGTCCAGCCTGTCCAGGTCCCTCTGTAGGGCCTTCCTACTCTCCAGCAGATCGACACTTCCACCCAACTTGGTGTCATCTGCAAACTTACTGAGGGTGCACTCAATCCCCTCATCCAGATCATCAATGAAGATATTGAACAGGACTGGCCCCAGTACTGAGCCCTGGGGAACACCACTCGTGACCGGCTGCCAACTGGATTTGACTCCATTCACCACCACTCTCTGGGCTCAGCCTTCCAGCCAGTTTTTAACCCAGAAGAAGTAAAATATCTTTTTGAAGCCACCTTAATACATACCAAAACAGAGTAGATGTGCAAACATCTATAGACTGGAGAAAAGTCTACAAGATCTTGAGCAGTTAAAACCTGAAGAAGGAAAGGAAAAAGTATATAAAGCATAAAAACCATATAATCTGCAAAATGTGATACATTACCAGCAGAACTAGCCTACTTAAATACTTCGTAAGACAATCTTACTGGTAAGGAATTATCCCTTCCTTTTAAATTCTGTTTTAGTGCCCTTAATGTTACAACTGCTCAACTTGGTTTCTTAAAATTTGGAGATTTAGGGGAGAATTAGTAGTTTAGTAGATTGTTAAGGTAGTAGGCTGATGAATCTAAAGTTCAGATGAATATGGAAATACATTGGGGTTGAATACAAAAGCATGACCAAATTGAGACAAGCAAAGGCCAACTCTGTTGACAGGTTTTATGGCTACTAAAACTACTGTTTTCATAGAAAGTGGTAGAAGGATTTTGCTCTAATGACTTCAAGAGTAACTGCATCAGCCTTTTTACCAGTAATTTCAGGACCCAAAAATGGATGGGTTCTATCACAAAGGAGTAAATTAATTGCTCAACTCTCCTCTCCCGTTGTATCACAGTACTAGATTTTATTTGTGTTACAAGACCAGACTCCTTTCACTGTGTTTTCAGAGCATCAGATTTAAAGGTCTAAATACTCGCTGTTTTATTCAATTTATGAATACTGAGTATTCGATAGTTGAAAGAGTTCTAATACAAGCTGAAGTCCTCAACACAGAAATACTCGCTTTAGCAATAGCAGAATATTCCAATAGGCCACATATCATTTACAGTGGGCAGGTACTATATAATGTAAATTGCAACTGAATTCCAGAATAATTACAAGTTTGACTGTCCCCAAACATGATGCTAAAGCTATCATTAACACAACTAATATTTTGGCACTGTTTTCTCCCCCTAAAATGCTGATCTGGACTGGTGTCCCTTGAAGGTGTTCTCTGGTCCTTCCTAACTAACACTGACTATCTACAGACAATGTACTGCAAGTTCTGTTCAATAAACCTACAAAAATCACTTTAAATAGGACATACTGATTAGTGTAAAGTTACCTCTTCTTCATGTTCATCATCTTCTTCAAACGTTCGCTTCAATGTAATTTCATTCTTGGATTCCAAAATTCTGCTTCTGCCTAAATGCATATTCCGACCATAGTTTACATTATTTTGCTTCTGATTAGCGGTACTAAAGGTTTTCTGCTGCTGTGCCTGTTTTAAAAGTAGTACCGATAAAGAGGGATGTAATGCAAATTTCATCGCTGATGAGGATATGCTGTGACATGAAAAACAGGTGGTGCTATTGAACACGCATCAGTATAACTGCAAGATGTGTGTACTCAGCCGATGCCGATGATTTTGTCCTTAATCAATTTGGGATGATTAATTAGTTCCATAGCTAATTTCTGCATAATTTTTCCCTAATCCCCAGAATGCAATTTTAAAGGTAGAAAAATTCAAAAAGTAGTCTGTAATTTTCTTGATCATACATTGCAAACAGAATCAATATTTAAATGAAGTACAGTTATCACAGAGTTTCCAGCTATTTGTTTGCTGTCTTCAGTTAAGCCTTAGTGAGCAGTCAGCTGCAGAAACCAAATGCACCATATCATCCTTACTACTGAAAAAATGCAACAAGGTAGCACACTATAACCTTGCGATTACGTTTCATTTATAATAATCAATGCTGCATTTTACAAGAACCTTAGATGACAAAATGGCAACCTGACCTGAACCCTGCCCAACAAAAAGTCAAATGAAAAGTTTACTTGCTCTCCAAATAAATTTTAAAAGCACTAATTGCTTTAGAATTTGCTCAGGACCAGTGCTTTGAAGTGGCAGATTATTTTGTGATGGAACAGGCAAGGGCTCCAGCTGTCCCAGCCTCATCCTGGCTCTCACCTCAGTCCTCTGCTCTCTCTCCTCTGGAGTGTGCCCTCTCTTGAGATCAATATGCCAATGCCATGCCCTGTATCTGTACTTTAGAAAGAGCTAAGCAGTTAACTCAACATGTCTTTTAGTTATTCATCCTTGCCAGATGGGCTGCTCTTTGTTTTGGTGTAGTAGCTGCTGAGTTACGGGCTGTCTAGGAGTTGACTACTCTAAGTATTTCACATTTTTTTGCAACTTGAGATATACAGCATTTCTCCTTCCTTTCCCAGGGAGGAAACTACTTCTTGTCTAGGACATAGATACGAATTTGGAAGGAAAGTTTGATGCTACTGAGGTGTCACGCTGCTGCTTCCTGTGTTAGCCATGGACCGCTAGAATTGACAACTTCATGTCCAGGAGAAGAAACTACCCAAGATGCTTGCAAGCATTTCACAGCTCTCCATCTTTACTCAAAGGTCTATGAGATGACTATAATCCTTAGACAAATCTTTTGGGCTAACCTGAGACTATCAACACTGCTCTTTTCAGTAGGTAACAGGACTGAAGTCATCCTGTTAGGTCAGCTTACCTGCTTCATGGCAGTTTCCCCAATTCTGTCAGAATGCTTTCGAATACTCTCTAAGAAATCCTTGAGATCTGACATGGATATTTCTTTTATTTCTTCACGCAGTTTTGGAAGATTTTCCATCATTATCTGGCAAAAACGGTATTGACTAACTCTAGGAAGATATAGATTTTCTAGCTGTTCCATTGTTTTTAAAGCAGAATAGTATCTACAAAGAGATTAAAATCAAATTATGTAGCTTCTTATAAAATTTTAATAAAATACTTTGTTTATCAAATATAGGATATCGATACCATAGACGCAATCAATATATATCTAATGAAATTAACTCTGTTCTTAGAAAAAATAAGAAATGAAAGGTTATCCATATAATGCTTTAGTTTGGAAAAAAACAGTGAACTGTCACAGTGACTCAGTCAAGTAAAAATTTTAAGTCGGCTCCTATGGTATTAGCTGTTCATCAATAGATTCCTAAAACCACATGGGGCATCTTGCAGAATGGAGGCACTAAAGTCATAACAATTACCTTCCCTTCTAGATTGAATTCATTAGGGTTTTTTATGAGTTCTTTTTTCTGAAACACAAAATTGCTAATCACCCAACATCACAGTATATGCACCAAACAATGAAAAAAATCTTGGAAAAGTGTGCCTGTATGTATCTGCCTTCTTTAGGTATATGTGAACATATACACACATCCACACCCACCCTCTTTCCACCATCCTTAGATGGAAAAGACATGTATACACTTATCTTAAGCAATATTTTTTCCAGCAGTATATCATATTTTGCTGTAAACCACAAATCTATTTACTCTTCTGACAAAATACAGTATATCCCACCAAGAAAACTACTTCGAACAAGCATTAAGGTCAGAGGTTTTTTTAAACAAAAAAAACCAAAAGACTCAATAATTTTCTCTATTCTTCTGTGTTCTGTTAGCCTACAGATTATTGGTAGCAGAAATATGGAAGACATGGCCTGAGAGGGGGAAAAAACAAAACACCAGGAAATACTTCCGCTCATGTCCATACACTATGCAGTTGTTGTACAGTACATTCATAACTATGTTGTGAAAATTTACCCAAGGGACAATGAGTTTAAAGAAATACTCAAGTTAAAACTAAGCATTAAAAGTGATTTCACTGCAAAGTAAATAAAAAAAAATAGAGACTCAAACAATTTTGACAAAAGAAAGCTACCAAATACTGAGACATCAACACTATCTATTACTACAGTTATTTACCTGTCTTCACTCTCAGTTGTCTCATAGGTTACAGGGGTTGTGGGGCCAAGACTTACTTGATAAAACCATTTATCAACTTCAGGCCTATAGCATATAAGTAAAATTTTAATGCTTTCAGCTGATTTAGGGAAACATTTAAAGAAGGAAATTTTAATTGAGGGAAATTGGTTTTCCATGCTTCCTCTTATAATCAGTAGAGAGATGACCAACACAAGGAGGTGATTCAGAGCTGAGTTGGGCTCCTATATGCCTGTTCCTGGAGTTAATACCCTTCTCTATTTTATTTTCAAATGTCACACAGGCTCCTAAGGCAGAATGCTTGTGAAAATTTTTACTTCATTGAAAAGATAAAGCAAAATAGATGTGGGCCAACTCTGGGACAGACAGCAAAACTAAGAAGGCAATAAACAGAAACACCATGATCAACAAATCTGTGATGTCAACAGGATTTTAAAGAGAGATGCAGCAAACAGGTTAAACATGAATAGGACAGCATAGATGTGACAATACTTCTCCTTTACGTAGGTTTCTTACCAGCTAATCAGCCCAGGAGGCTTTTCAAAAAATGTATTTAGTTTGGCCTATTGTAACAGAATAAGGTGAACTGATGCCTTCTAGCTTGGTCTTGAATAGGAAAAGGAGAAAAACTGAGATCAAACTGAATTAACTTGCCGTTAGTTCCAGCCCTTTCTTTCCACAAATACAGCCCATTTTTAACTTTTCGTATTATAACCTTAGCTCCTTTTTCCTCCTGAAAGCCCTACACAATCAGTATTGGAAAATTACCAAATCATTTTGAAAGGGAAAAGCTGAATATCAGCGAAATCCCTTCAAATGTTCAAGAAAACCTAGAAAAGTGTCCTTTCCAGTTCTTCTGCTTCTGGATATTACTTTGTAGACATAGTGAGTAAACACTTTTAAACTGAAATACAATTCAAGCTGCTGGCTCCCCTTCTGCAGACAAGCAAAAATAAATTATTAATACTTCAGTCATAGCTTCTTGTTCCTTTCTGAAATAAACACATTGTTCTGAATTTTCTCAAACAAGACATTTCTAAGCTAACAGTTCAGCACAGCTGGAGAATGGGAAAAATCTTCTCTCTTATTCCAGAACACAACTGCTTTCAGGAGACTGCAAATAAAGGGGTTTCAAGTGTAAATTAGGAGCTTTTGTTTATTATATACTTGGTTTATATAAAATATACATAAGGCGACGGGAATGTTGCAGATAAGAAGGGGTCTGGGGGTTTTACGTGTGTGGGTTTTGTTTTTTTAAATAGTAAATGACCAAGAGTGCCACATGGTGAGACTTCTGGGGAATAAAACCATAATAGCATCAAAATCGTATAAAAGGTTTTTATTTAAATTATACGGATCAGCTTATCAGAACACTGTTAGTTCATCTGGAAGGTTTTTGACTGCTGTCTCTAAGATCAGAATTAACATAATCCATTTTAAATCCATTCTAGAGTCCCTTACTAATTATATATATATATATATATGGAGCTCAGGACCTTGCCCTTTTAACATCTGTTCTGATAAAGCACTGAAGTCTTATTAATTTGAAGGTCATCTGCAGGTCAGGATTTAAATTAAAAAGTTTTTCATGTCATTTCATGGAATGATGTATTTGTATATTTTGCTTTAAAAACATTCCATAGATTTAACTCAATGCTGAAGATTTTGACAACAATATTATTAGTTCCCATCACATATTATCAATCATATATGGTAAAGATTGCCCATTTGACTAAAAATGAGTTAAAGATGTATCTTCAATTTTTTTTTTTTTTTCATATAAATATAGCAGTCCTCTGTCTATTCTTCTGAGCTAATCATGTAAGAATATGTTCCCCAACACAAAATGTATAATGCAAGCTTTGAAATCGAAGACACAAGTTTGAAACACCAATAGAGGTCATATGGTAAGTCTGTCCAGAACTGGTCCACCTTGTCAACAGAACCAGAAAACTATAAGACAGATTTTACTAACATCTTCAAACTATAAAAATGGAAACTTCTAAAACCAGCAAGAAGCAGGACTGGAAAAACAAACAAACAAACAAACAAAAACCCCCAAACCCCCAGAAGATTAATATTAGTGTTTTGCATCATCATATTCTAAAATTGAGCTGGCGTTTTACAAAATGTCCAAGTCCCAGGCACAGAGTAGTCAGGTTTGTATTAGAATTTGAAACATCAACACACAAAAAATCCAAAAGAAAAAGAAAGTGACCATTACTTCAGTGTACACAAAGTATTAAGTTATGTTTTAAATGACAGAGAGAACTTTTAAGATTTTTATCAGCAGTGTGTCATTCGGAGGCCATTAAGAGAAATACCATAATTTACTAAAAAAGTCCCATCAAGTTAAACAAGAGTAGTCAAGAAGCTACATAGGACAGGAGCAAGATGAACTCAAAGGCTGTGAATTTTATTGAGAATAACGCATTTGTACACAAGCCTTTTGAGTAAAGAAAGGTGTAGTCATGTCTCAAAA